TTTTCGAAAATCAAAAAATCGGTAAAGATTTGAAAATTTTACTTAAAAACCACAAATTCGGACAAAGGAAACGCCGTTTTCCTCATAAAGGTCTTAATATTCAAAAAAGGAATCGTTTTCTTTTCGAGCGACTTTTGGAGGGAAAAATTAGTCTAAAAATTTTTCTTTAGAATAGTTTTTCAAGCAAGCACTGAAGCCAAAAGCAAGTTAAAAAGCATTTATTGAAAAGCAATAATTTGGTGCAAACAAAGGATACATAATAAGACATAGAGTTTGTTCCTCGCGAGTAAGTGATTACTTCGAGTAAAATTTGCATTGGCAATCCTTACTTGATTAATCAGCGTTTTTGGTCGGGCGTGGACAAAAGTGACCTTCCTTTTTGCGCACCTGGACATTTGCGCACCTTTTTTTTGCTGGAAAAGGCCTTAGGAAAGGTCGTAGAGCTTCAAAAATGTTTTCTTACAGAAGGGAATCGTATGCGGAGATTCCGAATTTCGAGCAAATCAGACCAGCTGATATGTCAAATTTGGGCTAAAAAGGCAAAAACTACGCAACTTAACGCTTTTCCGCAGTTTTTGCCCTTTAGCCCAAATTTGACGGCCTTGCCTAAGGCCTTTTCCAGCAAAAAAAAGTCGCATTTGTCCCACCCCCTTTTTGATCGAGTAACTACGAGTAATCCTCTTTACACGTCGAGTAAATTGAATATCTTTACATTTGAAGGGAATTTGCCGGGTGGCAAATTGAGGTAGCCTAATTTCCGCCATTTTATTTGCGCAACAGGGTCATTTGTGCAACTGGGTTTGCGCAACTTGCCATAACTTTCTTCTAAGTCGGCCAATCTATGATTTTGGCTTCATTTTGTTGCACTTATTGAGATCTACAAAATGAAACCAAAATCATAAAGATTGATCCACTTAGAAAAAGTTATGACGAGTTGCGCAAACAACCCAGCGGAAATTAGCCTACTTTGCGCAACTCGCCATAACTTTCTTCTAAGTCGGCCAATCTTTATGATTTTGGTTTCATTTTGTTGCACTTATTGAGATCTACAAAATGAAACCAAAATCATAAAGATTGGCCGACTCAGAACAAAGTTATGGCGAGTTGGCAAATTCCCTTCAAATCAGCCTACCCCAATTTGCCACCAGATCAGTTGAACGGTTGAATTGAGTGCATCAGAAAGTGTTTTCAGAAAGAGAGTTTGTTTCTGAGCACAAAGTTGTAGCTATTGCCTAGTTGTAGAAAGCATGTGATGAATTTCAAACGACGAATGGCTTGCTTATCGTACGATCGATATCCTAGTATGAGATTAGATCCTTGCTTTACCCTACAACGACTTTCGGTCTCAGGTATTCTGTGTCTAACTCTTGCCGTCTCCCCCCAAACTTCATTAACGATTCAGCGATAAGCAAGTCTAGTTCTCTAATCATTTTCCTTTTAACCACCTTAGTGAGTCATTTCCTTTTGAGCTGATCACCCATTCAGCGACGACTCCATGGCTTTTGAGAAGTCAATGGAAATATTTTGGAAAGCTACAGGTTGAAAGCATCCAGAAGCATCCAGAAGCATCCAGAAGCATCCAGCAAAAGCCTTTCCAAAGCTTTTTGATAAATTTGTTGCCATTTTGCCAGTTAAGCAAGTTAAGTTTTTTTTCACCTTATATACGCCTTGAAAAGACGTATATAAGGTGGCGCTCGTGATTTTTTGTGCCAATTTTTTTTTGCAATAATTTTCGCTAAAAGTACGGTAATTTTTACTAAGTTTGCGTTTTAGAAAATGCATTACTCGTGAGGAAAAGACTCTAATGTCAACTACCAGAGGCACGAGTAGGTTCTGGAGGAAAATCAAGCCCCGAACCCAAACCCGAACTCCACCAGAAGAAGATCATACTCTCAAAAGGAAGATCATCATCTCCACTAGAAGAAGATCATCATCTTCACCAGAAGAAGATCAGACTCTTTGGTGGAATACTCAAAGAGCTATTAACTAGGAGTTGCTAAAGGGACAACTATTACAACTATTTTACACCCTATTACCCCTATTACCCAAATGTTGTGAAAGAAAAAAGCCCACTTGGTGGGATAAAGAAACATTTTTATCTTGCCAGCGTGATTGAACCCTCGACCTTCCGCTTAAGAGACAAGACTCCCTAGCCAGTCGGTCATCTGACTCACTTAGGGGTTTTGATTTGATTTGATTTGATTTGATTTTCTTGGTTTTTTGAAAGGGAAACATTAGCATTGATACACAGTATACAAAGCGCAGTGGGATTACGGTAGATAATCAAAAATAGCTAGCTGGCTAGTAGCCAATAGCTTTAAAATTACAGTTTATTACAGTGAATAGTCAAAAATAGTACTCAATAACTTTAAAAGTACGGCAGATTAGGCAAAAATTGGCTAAATTGGCTAAATTGGCTAAATTGGCTAAAAATTGTACTTATTAGCCAAAAATTACACTCCAACCTGGCCAACCTGACCAACCTGGCTAGGCCTGTTTCTAAGACTGATTTTCAAGACCAACCTAAAGCCAAAGCTCTTGGCTTTTACCCGACTCTTTGGTTCATTTGTCAGTCAATAGAAAAAAACAAGATTTGCCCCTTCAACAACAACAACAACAGCAACAACAACTACAACAACTACTTGCTATAAAAGTAGAATTGCTTGATTTGCTAAGCTCTTGATTTCGGAAGCTTTTAATCTAAAAACTTTTTAATCTTTTAATCTAAAAATGGATTTGCCCCAAAAACCCATTGATTTACTCCAAAAACCCATTGATTTGTCACTTTCACACTCGAGGACACGATAAACAACAAGAAAAAAGAAATCAGTGTAAAAAAAGAAGTTGAAAGCATGTTAAAGAAGAGTTTACTAATAAAACCTGTTGCTTGTTACTATTTAAAACAGGCTAAGCCTAAGCCTGAGCCTAAGCCAAAGCCTAAGCCTGAGCCTAAGCCTGAGCCTAAGCCAAAGCTTTTCCAAGTTTTCCCATAGTTTTGTTAAAGATCAGAACTGAATACCGTATTTTCTGTAATAGTAGTGTAGGCAAGAGGGGGATTGAAAAAATAGTAGTGCACCGTGCTAAATTTTGCTCTGTTGTGAAGACAATTGAAGCGCCTTGAAGGTGGTGGTTGAAGGACAAAGCTTTCGACAACGAGCTTGTCAATTGGATGATTGAAAAGTTTCTTCATCATTTCATCTCAAAAAAAAAGTTGCTCAGCCTAATATATCAAATATTTAAAGGAAAACGAAAATCTGATCCTTAAAGCAAAGGTTTTGAAAAGAAAAACTTGATAAAACCGAAATGAGGTTTTGCCATTGCCTCTAAACATTGTCCAACCGCAGGGAAAGGCTTTTGCATTGAGGGCCCGCAAAGAGGATCAGTTGGTGAGTTGAATGGGGAGAGATTGGCTGTGTGATAAAAGATTGGTGATCGCAATGTAGCCACGAGAATTTAGAGAGAAGCCACGAGATGACTCTCCCAAGCACACCACACACCTGATCGATGTTGATCGACCAGGAAATGGGGTGAATTGGATAACGTTTCAAGAATGAAATTAGAATTTCGGAGTACGGGGAGACGAGCACGTTATAGAATGCACTTGTAATAAAGCAAATCCAGCTTTATTGTACCTGGAGAACTCTGCCGGATCCGACTACCGTAATTTCTTAACCATAACGGCTACCGTAACTCTTAGCCTAGTTAGTGGACGCTACAGTGACCCACAAACGGGTTAGCGAGCTGGAGAACTAGGTTACCGTAGAGCTGGAGATCTAGATTATGGTAGAACTAGAGATCTAGATTACGATGAAACTAGGTATCTAGGTTACGGTAGAGCTGGAGATCTAGATTACGATAGAACTGGCGATCTAGATTACGGTAGTTCTGGAGATCTAGATTACGGTAGCCCTAGAAATCTAGGTTACGGTAGTCCTGGAGATCTAGATTACGGTAGAACTAGAGATCTAGATTACGGTAGCCCTAGAAATCTAGGTTACGGTATCCCTAGAGACCTAGATTACGGTAGCCAGTCTAGATCAAGTCAGGCTATGTAGCCCGAGCTAAGCTTCAACTACATCAGGATTAGGATACCGTAGCTTGGTCTGTTCCGCTTCGGCTACCGTAGCCTAGACGCGGTCTGATCTTCAGAAAACTGTTTGCAGTCAGCTAAACCCTGAGCCCAGTTGGATAGACTAGGATTTAAAATTCCGAGCACAAAACGACTCTTTGGCTACCTATGCGGCTTTTCCCACCAGCTCCCAATCCCGTTGGCTATCAAAAAGCCACAGAGTCCCCCCTGTCGCTGCCCCCTTTCTGCCGGACCACCTGATGGATGTACCCATTGCCGCTCATCGACATGTGTTTGCACACACATCCGGCCATCCTCCCGAGAGTCTCTCTTTCACCAAATACCTTTTCTCAACCGATAACAGCCAGCATGACACACTTTTTCCTCCCTTTTTGCCACAACCACCCAACCAACTCTGCCCACAAATTAATTCGGGGTTGATGGAGGAAAAAAAAGTTTTAGGGGATTTCTTGGATAAACTACCGTGATCTTCCGTTTTTAGTTTTTAGTTCAAAGCCATCGATACGTACATTGGTTTTTCTCCGGTGGAGCATGAAACCGGGCATAAAATGACCAAAAATGAATTCTCGATTCACGTCAACTATGTCACATCATCAGGAACCTCTGGAGAAGTGTCTGCTACACAGTTAACTCACAAGGATGAGTCGAACATTCTATGATACCTCCAGAATATAGTTAGATACCGTCGATTTCTCATTCGTTCATTGTACTGTGAATGTATCTGACTCCATATTGCCGTATGAATCCTAAAAATATTTATCTAAAAGTTAAATTGGCACCTAAAAACTTGTAAAGACAATCAGAAAGTAAAAGCAAATATAAAAAAACACCCGTAACAAGCTGAAAAAAAAGAATAACAAAAACAAAAACAAACCTAAAGCTAAAAAGCCGAGCCTAAACAATTCCATTATCTAGCTTTGTACAGTTGTTCGGCTACTTCCAAAACGAGTCGATCTTGCAAACGGTCGCCGATGAGTTGAACGGATAACGGGAGATTCGATGAAGGACTAGTACCCAATGGAATCGAAACGGCCGGCACACCTTAAGGGGAAAGATTTCAAAAGCAGACATTGGCAAAATGGTTGAAAGTACTTGGGAATTTTATGGATCCTTAATACTATAATTACAGATAGACATACTGTAAATTTAGATAGCATACTATAACAATTTACCTGCCATGTTGACGGGTTGCGTGTAAAAATCGTCGTCACTCTCACGCGCGAAATTCTCGCCATGCAGTTGCGAGAAGAGGGGCGCCACTCCGCACGCCGTCGGTGTCAGCAAGAGGTCAACCTGAAGGAAATATTCAATTTTCAATTTACATTTATTTACGCATTTGCCCATTGGATAAAGTAAACCTTAAAATAGAGCCTTTAACAAACAAAACCCCGCACCTCTTTAAACGCTTTCCACATTTCTTCGGCAATCAAACGTCGAACTTTCAATGCGCGCTCAAAGTACTCCTTTCGATGTCTAAAAATACTTAGAAACAACCAGAAAACAAGAGCAGACTTTTTCATCAGGAAATAGTTCCCGAAATGAATCCTCTTCTTCACCACAGAGTTCAACGATTCGGTTCTCGACGACGAGTATAACTCGAACGTCGATTGGTTATTCGAGGAGCGATGACCGTAGGCAACACTGTCGTATCTGAAAATTATCCTTGAAAATTTAGATTCCCTCCGTTCGGCCCAGGTATTTCCCAGGTAAGCTTGCCAATACGTTATACATTCAAGTAAATTGTTGTTTTTTTTTATAATACTAGCCACGAATTACGGTAGCTGGGTCGCGCTTCAGGGTGCCTACCCTAGAGTGCTTTAGAGGCTTAGTTACGGTACCGGCTTAGACCCTAGTCAAAAGAGTATCTTCAGCTTCAGCGACAACTATTTTTTGTAAATCTACCCAAAGCTACATTTTGTAAAACTTTAAATTTATTAAATTAAATTTTAAATAAAAATTTAAAACAAACTAACCTTGCCATATTCGACGCAATGTCTCCACCGGAAGCTACGTGATAACAGATGAGCGAGTACTTTGTGAGTGGCAGGGAAACTAAAAATATAATAGACAATGCAAGATTTGGGTATCTATAAATCTTTAAAAGAAAACTAATCAAAGCTCTGAAATCATTTACCCGTCCGGACTTTGGCGCCGAGTCGCGTCAAAATGTTGGCCGCACGATTCCACAGTTGCCACGCCTCGTCGGTGAGCGACTCGTTGTGATATTCCTAAACAAATATATAACTAAATTGCGTTCCTTTCGACTAAAGCTTTTTCTAAAAAGCTTTAGTCGAAATAGCCATTTTGGACAAATCTACCCTAATCAGATTACCAGTTATTTGTTCGGCCCAACTTTGGTTTCGTTGATTGAGTCTTGTTTTCTCATCGAATATGACCAAAATTAGGCTGATCAAATACAGCATGATTAAAGTATTTTATCTAAAATAAGTGCCCTCTAAAAAAAATTAATCAAAACGCACCTTTGGAATCCCGATGACCAAATCGGAAAGCTTTTTCGATAGGAGCGAAGTTTTTGGGTCGATAGACGTTGAATCGTTTGCATCTCGACCGGCGGCAATTTCTGAAAACAAACCAGTAAAATAACTACCGTAATACCTGTAATAGTAGCGCCGGTGCTATTATTTTTTCCTTTCCCCTTTGGGGAGCGCTACTATTAAAGCGCTACTAATTTTTCTTCCCAAGAATTTTAAACAACCCAATCTGGAAGTTTCCAAGATAATTCACCAGAATTTTTTCAGCTTTGAATTTCATTTATTTATCTTTAACAAAATCACAGTAAAATCAAACATAAAACAGATCAATTATAAAAGCAAATTGATACATCTGAATCAACAAAGCCATCATTATCTCCTTCCTGATCATTAACTTCTCAGAAAGCCCTGTTCATTGAAGCGGCCCCAGAAGATCATCAATTTCTTTCTCCATTCGAGCGTCTTTTAGCAGCTGTAGCCCATTTGGAATAGCGCAGTCAGCCTTGAAGCACTGAATCATATGGTCCTCATCACCGTTTGCCGCAATTCCGATGCCGCATCCTTTGAAAGACTTTTCAATCATCTCCTTAAAAAGGTAAAAGCCACTGAATCATATGGTCCCAGGTTTGAACGATCCATGTAAAATACATGTTCATTGCAGGTGGTTTTGGATCTCCACCCCCAGATCCATCCTTTCGTGGTTTTGTCAGATCAGGAGCGTTTTGTCAGAAGTTAAAATCCAATCCTCGAGTGAGTGCTCTTGTTTGCTGAAGAAGTTCGCCAAATGATCGCTGTAGATACTCGGTCGTGATGTCATTGTCAAAGCACTTGTCTCCTTTTCTTTTCAACATAAAAGCAACTCTTCTCGAAATTTCACTTCCACCGATTTTCGCGGCACAACCACAAACGGACGCAGTTTCACACCATCGCTCAGTATCACAGAAATGTTCATTTTATCGTAACCTCTGATTATCACACCTACTCCGCGCACGCCAATCGAATCAACACATTTGCTCGTTTAAGAATCGAGCCAAACAGCCAAAGGTGAGGTCAACGCGCGTCCGTCACCATCGAGCCGCTTCCTTTTTTCGCGCATTTTGCTCCGCTCATTTGTTTGTTTGACGTATCGTTGGACATAAGCTCAATCAATTTTGTAGAATCTGGTAGCGGCATGAACGAAGACTTTGCGAGCCATTTTGCAACATCAAGTTTAGTCTTCGCATCTATTGTTTTTTTTCTTTCGCTTTGGCTTGTCCGTTCCATCGTTTGTTTCTTTGTCAGGTTCCTCGTGCTAGAAAATCCGTAAAAAGGAATGAATGTAAAGGAAAGGAAAAAGAAAGAAAAATTGAATGAAAATGTTGTAGTTGCAAGCTAAAAAGCTGAATATCTTAAGATTTCTCGTAGGCATTAAGATATTCAGCTAAGGGGCGCTTTTTTAGAGAGGGCGATACTATTTTTCTCTCCCATCCTGGGGCGCATTCTTAGAGGTATTAAGGTAATAACAAAACACTTTTTGGAAATCCAATTTAAAATTAACATAGCTTACCAAAAAATCGCCAACATTCTTCGGCGCTTTGCGCGAAAATCGACGGCGCATCCAACGAGTTCACCAACGGGATTAAGCCGTAGCGAGAGATTGTCTAAAATAGATTATGTAAGCTTAAAGTACGGCAATGCAGCTTAATTTAGCTTACTAAATTAAAAAATCAAAAACCCACTCCATATGTAGGTTTGAAGCCAAAGACGCCAGTGAACGCGGCCGGATTTCGCACCGAGCCGCCAGTGTCCGAGCCGATTGAGCTAAACATTAGTAAACTGCTTGTAGATGTAAAAAAAGAAGTTGGAATCAGGTTCGGAACGAAATTTGTCTGCTTACAATTAGATCTACAAATCCCTCACCAATCAGCAATCCCCATTTGCACGCTCACAGCCGGACCACCTGATGAGCCGCCGGCAACCACCCAGTCGTCGTCTAATTTTTCGAGATTTGACAAGCCGTTCTAAACAAAGATATCATACCCAAAACAGATAACATGATAAGCTTAAAGTTAACAATTATCTATTAGGCTGTCCAGAAAGGCTTTTCGTTCTTTTTCATTCCGTTTAAAACCAACAAAATGCACCAATTGAACTACGGTTTGTTTGATTGATGTCTGGACAGCCTAATAGCGAACACAATGCACTTACTTATGAAAGCTTTGTCTACCTTAACAGGCCCAAAATGGCCGAGCGCCGACGAGGTGCCCATCGAGTACTCGTCCATGTTACCCTTCCCGATCACACAACCGCCTAAAACATAAATATTTTAGCGATAAATGTATCTTTAAGCCTATATACATAAGTTATAATAATGCTTAGTTTTGCAAATAAAACCGTTACCTGAGTCGATCAATCGTTGAACGCTCGTCGCCGTGTATGGTGGCACGTAGTCTTTCAACATTTTGCTCGCACACGTCGCTCGAACACCCTTCAACCTAAAAAAAAAACGATACAGAAAGTCTATAAATAGAAAAAAGTTTGTTATCTGCCTTAAAGTATATTTTTGATGCCATATTTAACATTTTATTGGCTACTATTCGAATGTCATATTTTATCGGCTTTAAAATCCTCTAGTTATTATGGACTAATAGTAAGTCTAAGTCAAGGTACTGGTACTTCTTTAGTGTCTGGGGGAGGTAACAAAATTTTGGCAAACTTGTGCCACTGATTTAGTTAACTTAAACTTGTCCAATTTTGGCTTTAAAGCATTATTAGATAGCTTAAACTTTGTAGATTCTAATAGTTTTGAGTTTTTCAAAATCTATCACAAAAGTATTTAAATTGTGGGTTAAAGTTTGGCAAAATCACCAAAATCGGCAAAACTTTTCTTTTCAATATAAAAATATGTTTTAGGGATCAGTTTTTAATTATCCTTTAGATATCTGATATATTAAGCTGTCCAGAAAGCCTTTTCGTTCCTTTTCCTTGAAAAATAACAAATTCACCAATTAACCTATGGTTTGCTCTACATAAAAAGTGTTATTCTTCATTTTCCCATCTTTTTAAGTCAATTTGGATTCACTTTCAAGCAAAATTCGAGAGTGAAAGCATGTGTTTTTCGCAGAAAATCTATAAAAACCTCTACGAAGAAATTGGCCGAATGGATTTCTCTGAAAATTTGGTTATATACTAAACTTTTTATGCTTTCTCTTTTATCTATTGACAAAAAGTTTAGCTTGGGTTACTAGCTTAGGTTTACTTAGCTAAAGTGCCTAAACCGCATCATCGAGCCATCAGCATCATCAAGACGTCGTCCTTTTTGACTACCCGACTTCAGGCTCCCAAAAAAATCCACACATCAGACATTTTAAAGCGGTTTTAATGTTATTTTGCAGGAAAATAATTGACATTTCTAATGAAACAAACCATAGTTCAATTGGTGCATTTGTTGGTTTGGTTCTTTTCCAATATCGGGGGAGCGGTCCGATTATCGGGGGAGCGGAAAGAAAATCGGGGGAGCGAAAGGAAAATCGGGGGAGCAAATTTTGCCCCCTCGAAAAAATGCATTTCTGGGACTTTTATTTTAACTGCAACGTTTTTTTTAAAACTTTAACGACGATGCGCTTCTCCGATATTTGTGCGTTCAAGGAATCGACGGCAATCGATTATTTCGTCACCAAAGGAGTCATCCAGTCGTGGATTTGCAACTGTGGCGAATCGATGAAAGTCCGCTCAAAGGGAAAAGATCTATTTCGCTGGGTATGTGACACTTGCGCACGGCGAAATGTCCCCAAGTGTTAGATATTTAAGTCACTTTTGTGATCTAATATAAAGGTTGTGAGAATAACGGGTAATTCGCGGATTTTATGGCAGTACTTTGGATAATATAGGACATATGTAGCGCTGCCAAAAAATTTAAAAAAAAAACGTTGCAGTTAAAATAAAAGTCCCAGAAATGCATTTTTCGAGGGGCAAAATTTGCTCCCCGATTTTCCTTTCGCTCCCCCGATTTTCCTTCCGCTTCCCCGATAATCGACCGCTCCCCGATATTGGAAAAGAACCGTTGGTTTTAAAAAAGAAGTACGAAAAGGAAAGAAAAGACTTGCTGGACAGCCTAATATTATGTGGACTCAACTTTTAGTAAATAGCATTAAAAATATCAAAACACTCACGCATAGCAATCCTTGACGACGAGCGGAAAGGGTTTTTTGTCCTCTTTTAATCGCTTCTTTCGCTTGATGCCTCGCCAAATCGAATGTTTCCGTGATGAGCGCGTTTAGGGGACGATGACGAATCGCTGATGTGATTGCTGACTCGATTCGTTCCATATCTAAACAAATTAGTATTAGATAATTACAAAAAAAATTAAAAAACAAATCAAAAATTAGCAATCAAGCAAAAAAAAGCAAGAAAGTTTGAAAATTGGGGGTGGGACAAATGCGACCTTTTTTTTGATAGAAAAGGCCTTAGGAAAGGTCGTAGAGCTCCAAAACTGTTTTCATAGAAGGGAATCGTATGCGGAGATTCCGAATTTCGACGAATCAGACCTCGCTGACACGTCAAATTTGGGCTAAAAGGCAAAAACTACGCAACTTAACGCTTCCGCAGTTTTTGCCCTTTAGCCCAAATTTGACGTGTCATCGAGGTCTGATTTGTCGGAAATTCGAAATCTACGCATACGATTCCCTTCTATGGAAACATTTTCGAAGCTCTACGGCCTTGCTCTAAGGCCTTTTTCAGCAAAAAAAAGGTCGCATTTGTCCCACCCCCCAATTTTCAAACTTTCTTGCTTTTTTTTGCTTGATTGCTAATTTTTGATTTGTTTTTTAATTTTTTTTTGTAATTATCTAATACTAATTTGTTTAGATATGGAACGAATCGAGTCAGCAATCACATCAGCGATTCGTCATCGTCCCCTAAACGCGCTCATCACGGAAACATTCGATTTGGCGAGGCATCAAGCGAAAGAAGCGATTAAAAGAGGACAAAAACCCTTTCCGCTCGTCGTCAAGGATTGCTATGCGTGAGTGTTTTGATATTTTAATGCTATTTACTAAAAGTTGAGTCCACATAATATTAGGCTGTCCAGCAAGTCTTTTCTTTCCTTTTCGTACTTCTTTTTAAAACCAACGGTTCTTTTCCAATATCGGGGGAGCGGTCCGATTATCGGGGGAGCGGAAAGAAAATCGGGGAGCGAAAGGAAAATCGGGGAGCAAATTTTGCCCCCTCGAAAAATGCATTTCTGGGACTTTTTATTTTAACTGCAACGTTTTTTTTAAAACTTTAACGACGATGCGCTTCTCCGATATTTGTGCGTTCAAGGAATCGACGGCAATCGATTATTTCGTCACCAAAGGAGTCATCCAGTCGTGGATTTGCAACTGTGGCGAATCGATGAAAGTCCGCTCAAAGGGAAAAGATCTATTTCGCTGGGTATGTGACACTTGCGCACGGCGAAATGTCCCCAAGTGTTAGATATTTAAGTCACTTTTGTGATCTAATATAAAGGTTGTGAGAATAACGGGTAATTCGCGGATTTTATGGCAGTACTTTGGATAATATAGGACATATGTAGCGCTGCCAAAAAATTTAAAAAAAAAACGTTGCAGTTAAAATAAAAGTCCCAGAAATGCATTTTTCGAGGGGGCAAAATTTGCTCCCCCGATTTTCCTTTCGCTCCCCCGATTTTCCTTCCGCTCCCCCGATAATCGGACCGCTCCCCCGATATTGGAAAAGAACCGTTGGTTTTAAAAAGAAGTACGAAAAGGAAAGAAAAGACTTGCTGGACAGCCTAATATTATGTGGACTCAACTTTTAGTAAATAGCATTAAAATATCAAAACACTCACGCATAGCAATCCTTGACGACGAGCGGAAAGGGTTTTTGTCCTCTTTTAATCGCTTCTTTCGCTTGATGCCTCGCCAAATCGAATGTTTCCGTGATGAGCGCGTTTAGGGGACGATGACGAATCGCTGATGTGATTGCTGACTCGATTCGTTCCATATCTAAACAAATTAGTATTAGATAATTACAAAAAAAAATTAAAAAACAAATCAAAAATTAGCAATCAAGCAAAAAAAAGCAAGAAAGTTTGAAAATTGGGGGGTGGGACAAATGCGACCTTTTTTTTGCTGGAAAAGGCCTTAGGAAAGGTCGTAGAGCTCCAAAACTGTTTTCATAGAAGGGAATCGTATGCGGAGATTCCGAATTTCGACAAATCAGACCTCGCTGACACGTCAAATTTGGGCTAAAAGGCAAAAACTACGCAACTTAACGCTTTTCCGCAGTTTTTGCCCTTTAGCCCAAATTTGACGTGTCAGCGAGGTCTGATTTGTCGAAATTCGAAATCTACGCATACGATTCCCTTATGGAAATATTTTCGAAGCTCTACGGCCTTGCCTAAGGCCTTTTTCAGCAAAAAAAAGGTGCTCAAATGTCCAGGTGCGCAAAAAAAAGGTCGCATTTGTCGTACCCCCGAAAATTGAATTAAAAAATCCCTTTCACCATTTTATACAAAACTCAACTGTAAAAGATATTCAGTTAAAAGATTAAACATTTCCTTTTCCCATAAAGTAAAAGATATTCAATTGAAGGCACCAGTTTTACACTTTTCAGAGTGATTTAACTGGCCAAATGATTCAGCGCGTCATTTGTATTGTCTCGTTTTTATCGATACACGGCTACAGTACTCTAACTGTCTGAGTACAGGGCTAAAGAAATCGACTTGGTGTTGATCTTTCGTCATTTTCCCAATATTTTGGCTACAATTGATTATCGCAAGGGTTTAGCTTATAAAAATCGAATTTTTTGACTGCTTTAAGCACCAAAGGGACCTTCTGCACTGTACCCAAAAAAATACCGTAAATACTGTAATAGTACCCCACCCCCATAATGACGATGCGGAGTGTTGCGTAGTTTAACTTTGAACGCGTTTTTCTTGACACTGCTTTATGCTACAATGCGCGTTTAGGTATCAAAAAATAGCTGAAATTCAGGGCTATTTTTTTGATACCAAAGACGCATTTTTTGAAAGTACGGGTGCTTTGAAAAACATGAAATACTAAAAAACTTTTGCGACTACGCGACTGTACGAGGGGGGTGGGGTACTATTACAGTACAGGGTGACCAGAAATAACGTTGCGGTCGAAGTATTTATGGTACCTTCTTAACTTCTAGCAGTTGATCTTGATGAATTTGCGATGAAATGGCAAAGAAAAACGGTGAAAAATGAATAAAAACAACAGAAAATGGCTTTAAGCAACGGAAATCGCGGATTACGGTAGCTTTTTAGCATTTTAGAATGCGTCACCAAAAGTTTTTCTCTGTAAACGCTCTTGCGTGCAAAAGGGTGCTATAACTTAACCAAAAGTACTGCAAAGTTTTTTAGTATTGGGTTGGTGGAAAAGTCCTTTCGGATTTTTTGGGAGAGTACCTTAAATTTGTCCAATTTTCACGTTTTATAGCTCATCCTAAAGCTGAATTCAAGACGGATCGATTGGTAAAAACAGTTTTGAGATATCTCTTTTCTAAAAGTTTTGACAGCTATTTTTGTAAAGGGCGGCAGAGCCAAAAAAAATGGCTGTTTTCACGTTTCGTTGGTTTTCCGTGCAGAAACCTAGGCTAAAAACATGTGTTTCGTGATCAGCGTCAAAAATAACCCCTAGACACAAATTTTCAGAATCTTAGCAAAAAATTTTTGAAAAATATTGTCACCGGTGGAAGTCGAACCAGCGACCCTCAGATCAATAGCCTTTCCGCCGCTTCTCGCGATTTTCCTTCGTTTTTCTTTTTTTTAAATTTAAAATTTAATTTTTTAAATTTTAGGGTACAACAAAAAAAAGGGATTCGAATTCGGAATGCATTTGGCGAAGACGCCGTTATTGATGATACCGCTAGGTTTTGGTTCCGACGATTCAAAGGTGGTAATGAAAGCCTAGAAGATGAACCACGTGGCGGTCGCTCTGAGACCTGTTCTGATGACCAAATAAGACGCTGTCTTCTCGAAAACCCTCGTTAAACCTCTTCAGAAATAGGTCTTACATTAAATTGTGATGGATCAATCGTAAGGAAACGCTTGAATGCCATGAATTTTATTTAACGAAACTTATGGTCTTTTTTTTTTGATCTGTCTTCGCACTTAGGTGTTCTTCTTTGCGCAGATCACAACCTGCTTCCACATTTCTCTATCCCTTGCTATTGTCATCCGGTGCTTCCTATCTTGGTTATTCCTGATTCGAAGTCTTCCAGTTGCTTGTGCTGGTGGTGATTGCACTCTAGCCATCCTTTCTCTGACCGTCTCTGCCACTCTTGTGCTCCACCTCGTCGCTGGTCTTCCGATGGGCCTCTTCTGGTCTCGTGGTAGCCACTCTGTGATCCGTGTCGTCCATCTGTCGTCTGTTCTTCTGGCTACGTGACCGGTCCATCTGAGTCTTTTTCTCTCGATCACTTCCCCTGGATCTCTGAGTCCCGAGAGCTGGCGCATATCCGTACTTCTTAGGTTTTGGTCGAGCTGCGTCTTCCTATTGTGTCTATTATATTTAAACGTTAAAAACGTGGATTACTTTTTCACACACCTAATAGCATAAACCAGTGTCGAGAACAACTCGTCTAAAGCTAGACTACGCAACACTCCGCACCGTCATTATGGGGGCTGGGGTACTATTACAGTATTTACGGTACCAACAAGCTTTTTTTTGTGCTTTCTCTTTTTCAGTATTTCATTTTCATTTTTTCTATATTTCCTTTTCAAGAAAAATGCCAGCTATCAGACCAAATTGATCAAATGAAAACTCCCCCAAAAAAAACGCTCAAATTTCCGCTTTTTGCTCGAATTTTTGAGAGAAGAGATTGTTTATCGAGACAAAAATTTTTCAAAAAAGATTTTTTTGCGAATCAACTGCTAACTATTGCTTTGCTTTTCCTCGAATTTTCAACCTTTCCCCTAAAATGCGGACACTTTTATTGGCTACCGTACTTCCAGCAGCGGTTTTTGCCGTCACTTGCTATAATGTGAGTGTCAAATTTTGCCAGAAGAGTTCATCTTTGGAGTTTAAATTTAGAATTTAAACTCCAAAGATTAACTAGCTTGAATAAAATATTCAAGCTACCGTAATCTAGCGGTAAACTGGGGATTATGATAGTCTAAGCACTGTAGAACTTAGACAATCTGAGATATGGCAAAAGCTTGCTCAGCTACCATAATCTAAGAGCTCAGCTACCGTAATCTAGGAGATAAAGTACCGTAATCTTTATCCAGTCTACCGTACCCCGTTTTTAGAAAGATATTCAATTTTCCAGGGTCTTAAACTCATCCAAGGCACCTCGGTGGGCGATGCAACGATCGAGTGCGGAAACTCGGCTGCACAAGTATCAAAGAAAACTTTAGATCTGAAATTAAGACAGGACCTGGTCCCAAGATCTGGTTTACAAACTTGACAGACCTTAGTCTCAGACAGACAGACAGACAGACAGACAGACAGACAGACAGACAAACAGACAGACAGACAGACAGACAGACAGACAAACAGACAAACAGACAAACAGACAGACAGACAAACAGACAAACAGACAGACAGACAGACAGACAGACAAACAGACAGACAGGACAGACAGACAGACAGACAAACAGACAGACATACAGACAGACAGACAAACAGACAGACAGACAGACAGACAGACAGACAGACAGACGGACAGACAGACAAACAGACAGACAGACAAACAGACAGACAGACAGACAGACGGACAGACAGACAGACAACCCTATTCCTAGCTACAGTATTAGATAACCAAAAAGCATAAGAATTGGAGGCGAGAGGAGTTGAACCCGCGACCTCTCTTCCGTTCGTTTGAGAGACACGCGCGTTAACCACTCCACCAGTAGATGGCGCAGTGCGAGTGCACTTGTCTTTAGCCCACGCAACCCCGGTTCGACTCCCACTCGCGTCGATACTTTTCGTTTTTAAAAAATTTAAAAACAGATTGCATAACTACATGAAATTCTAAGCCAATTTAACTATAAGTTATTTGAAACGGCCTACTGGATGCGGAGGAGTATGCACAGACAGACAGATAGACAGATAGACGGGCAGACAGACAGACAGACAGACAGACACGCAGGCAGGCAGGCAGACAGACGGACAGACGGACAGACAGACGGACAGATGGACAAACAGACAGACAGACGGACAGACAGACGGCCAGACAGACAGACGGACAGACAGACAGCCAGACAGACAGACGGATAGACAGACGGTCAGACAGACAGACGGACAGACAGACAGCCAGACAGACAGCTTTTTTATATATAATAGATAGGTACAATACCTTGAGTAAAGTAAGTAAATCTTATCGATTTCATAATTCACTTTAGTGTTACAATATGAGTGCAAGTGCAGGCTCTTTGATCGACGTCGTGAAAGCCGGGTGTTCGCTGTGGAGATGCTTGGTGAGAAGCGGTTCTTTTTACTTTGTTATCATCTAAACACACCCTTTCTCATGCAATGAACTTGTACTTTGTGCTCACACAAACGCACGCTTTGCTGCAGCGCTGAATTCTGATGTTTCCCTCCGAAAAAAGATGAAGAGTTCAGTGCGCCAGTTGGGGATGCGTTTACAAAGCACAAAGCACTACAAATCTTTCTCTAGTTTGCCAGCAATCGTTGCATTTCAACGACTTTTCAAAAGATCCCAATCTCGATGTGTTGTTGCTCGACAGATCGATGCAATATGGATCACTCAGGGAATGAGTGAGTTTGTTCAATTGAGGTAGCTTTGAGCAGTAGCTTTGATAGCTATCAATAGCTATCATTAGCTATCAATAGCTATCAATACCAATAGCTATCAATAGCTTTGATATAATACTTTGATATAATAAATTCTTTTTCAGAAATCGTCAAACGATCACTGGCAACAATGCTCAACCAACCGAGGTAAATAGTTGAAGAAAGGAACGAGGAAGAAAGAAGAAGGAAGAAGGAAAGGATTCTCTTTTCAGGAAGAAGTCCAACAAATGGCGAAGATTAAGAGTCAATTCGCCGAGTCTCAAGTAGATGATGTGAGGAAATTCATTGTTTGTAAGGCTAGGACAAAGACCAAACCCAAGTCCTGGGTTTCTTCTTCCTTCAGTTCTTGTTCTTGGTCATTGAATCAAGAACTGAACCGAATGAGTGATTGTGGGAGAGGAAAGGGAGGAGATTCAGGTGACAAGCCTGCAAAGATTCGGAGAAATGATGAAATGATCAGAGAAATGATCAGAGAAATGATCGGAAATCGGCAATCGGAGCTAGGCAACATAGCTGCCATAATCCAACTGACAAGGGAAGGATGATTGGGCCTTTTCCGATTGATTGGGTTCCTTGGCCTTTTCCGATTGATTGGGTTCCTTGGCCTTTTCCGATTGATTGGGTTCCTTGGCCTTTTCCGATTGATTGGGTTCCTTGGCCTTTTCCGATTGATTGGGTTCCTTAGCCTCTTCCGATGATAGACCATTCGACACAGAATTTTACGCTGATTCCAATGATGTAAAAATTAGCTGCCGAATAGCGGGTAATCACCGCCAAACTCTTAAGCATAAAGGTTTTAAGCCTCTCTTTTTAACCCAATTTTTGTTGGGTTTTTGTTTTAACCCCTCCAGTTTTGCTCTAGATTTGCTCCAGATTTGCTTCGAGATTTCTCGAAATTTTCGACAAATTTCAGCCAGCAATCTTCAATTTTTGCGTAACTCTATCGATTTTCAATGTTTTTTATCAGAAATTTTGATAGTTTTATTGGTTTAGAGTAGTTAAAAATGTGATTTCCAGGGTTCCGCTCGGCCAACTAGGGACACCGAAGTGACGGATGCTCCAGAGTGAAATATTCACCAACATATTCACCCGAAATCTCAAAGCTTTATCAAAATCATTAATTATCTATTAAATAAATGAAATAAATGAAATAAATTGAATTTACACTCAAGCTTTCAACAAATATTCATCGATTTCCAGTAAAGAAAAGCTCAAATGAGAATCAGCAAGCGGCTAATTAGCTGAATTCATTGAGCTGAACTAGTTGAGCTGAATTCGTTGAGCTGATTTCATTGAGCTGAATTCGTTGAGCTGAATTCGTTGAGCTGATTTCATTGAACTGAATTCGTTGAGCTGAATTCATTGAGCTGATTTCATTGAGCTGAATTCATTAGCTGAATTCATTGAGCTGAATTCGTTGAGCTGCTTTCATTGAGCTGAATTCATTGAGCTGAATTCGTTGAGCTGAATTCGTTGAGCTGCTTTTATTGAGCTGAATTCATTGAGCTGAATTCGTTGAGCTGAATTCGTTGAGCTGAGTTCGTTGAGCTGAATTCATTAGCTGAATTCATTGAGCTGATTTCATTGAGCTGAATTCATTCAAAATTCCTTTTTCACGATAAATTCTTGAAATTCTATAGCTTTTTTTAAAATGGTAAGGTTTAATTTCTAAAATTTAAGTCTTTTAAGAGATTTTTATTTGTAAAAAGTTTAACAACTCTTTATTTAAGCGTTTTTTTTTTCGGTTTTTCCCTCTATCAAATGCCAATTTTCAATGCATTTGAGAGTGAGTAAAGAAAAGAGAACTCTTTATTTAAAAACTTTCATTTCTTTAAGAAATCTTTGTGATTGTTGAGTATTTATATTGAAATTTTGACTTTGAATTGAAATCATTCCTTTCTAAGAATTTATCGAATGCTTGAGCATTGCGAATTCTAATGCCAGTGGCGAATGGTTGGAGAATGTGAAATGCCGATATGGAATCGTGTTCTTTGCAACTTTGAAAGGAGAACTGCAAGGAGAACTGCAAGGAGAACTCCAAAGAGAACTACAAGGAGAACTACAAGGAGAGCTGCATGGAGGACTGCAAGGAGGACTGCAAGGAGAACTGCAAGGAGAACTGCAAGGAGAACTACAAGGAGAACTACAAGGAGAACTACAAGGAGAGCTGCATGGAGGACTGCAAGGAGAACTACAAGGAGAACTACAAGGAGAGCTGCATGGAGGACTGCAAGGAGAACTGCAAGGAGAACTGCAAAAAGAAGCTGCTGAAATCAATTTCGAAGCGACGTTGGGCTCGGTTAGTCTCTGGTTCGAATCCAGTAGATGAGTGAGGGATATCTTCTGTACCGAGTGCTGTAGGTAACCGCATCCATATGGCGATTGCCTACAGGCACCCATACAGTGTGGTTACCTACAGCAACTGGCTCCGATCCGATCCCGAATACCGGTCTCCCTAGGCCTCGAGATTGGGATAACCAGGGATCCAAATGGGTAGACTTGTCTAAGGCGCAAGCTTATATAAAGCGGGTAGCCTCCTCCTTTTACATCATCTCCTACATCGTCCAATCCTTATAAACGGTAGAATATTCCTTAGATTCCCTATTCCCAAGATTCTTTATTCCTCAGATTCCTTATTCCTTAGATCCCCTATTCCCAAGATCCCCTATTCCCAAGATCCCCTATTCCCAAGATTCCCTATTCCTTAGATTCCCTATTCCTTAGATTCCCTATTCCTTAGATTCCCTATTCCTTAGATTCCCTATTCCTTAGATTCCCTATTCCCAAGATTCCCTATTCCCAAGATTCCCTATTCCCAAGATCCCCTATTCCTTAGATTCCCTATTCCCAAGATTCCCTATTCCCAAGATTCCCTATTCCCAAGATCCCCTATTCCTTAGATTCCCTATTCCCAAGATTCCCTATTCCCAAGATTCCCTATTCCCAAGATCCCCTATTCCTTAGATTCCCTATTCCCAAGATCCCCTATTCCCAAGGTCCCCTATTCCCAAGATCCCCTATTCCTTAGATTCCCTATTCCCAAGATCCCCTATTCCCTAGATCCCCTGTTCCCTAGATTCTTTTCTTCATATGTAAATTGTGTGTGCAAAATAAATCACCGTTAACTCTGGTACACATTTTTCTTATTATACAAGAAAAAAGACTGATTCAAAAGTTTTTACTGCAGTTTTTGTTCCTGCAATCGTTATCTATAGTAGTTATAGAAGAGGCTATATTTATTAAATGAAATACGCTTTTTTTAAGATAGATACTTTTTTGCAAACTCATTGTGGCCATTCGAGTGAAAAATAAAATGACATTCTCTAATAGAACGACACCTAGAGGTGTTATTGGCAAAATAGAATCACAAATCATTCTAATAAATCATTTACGGTATGTTTAGCATCAAATTAACATCAAATTAACATCAAATTCAAGCTGATTAGGGCCCTCTCACGGCCAGGGGGACTCTATTGGATCTCTTGGATATCTTGGCTCTCTCTTGACTCTCTTGGCTCTCTCTTGGCCTTCTCTTGGATCTCTTGGCCTTCTCTTGGCTCTCTTGGCTCTCTTGGCTCTATTGGTCCTCTCTTGGCCTTCTCTTGGCCCTCTCTTGGCTCTCTTGGCTCTCTTGGCCTTCTCTTGGCCCTCTCTTGGCCCCCTCCTTTCCCCTTTCATCCAAATTTCCGCCCGACTCCTCTCTCCTTTTCGCCTTTCGATTTGTAGCCAAAAAAGACGATAAAAGAAAAGGAAAGCCTTTCCAATTTCTCTCAAAAAAAAGACCCAAACCTCATCGATTCTCCCAAAAAAAACCCCACCAAAAACCTCCAAAAAAATTCAGAAATTTAAAAAATCAAAAATCTGACCTTTTCCACACTTTTCACACTCATTTCAATAATTTATGGGAAAATTTTTTTCATTTATTTTTTCCCAAAACCTCTGGACATTCAATTTTATTCTTTTTTAAACTTTAAAAATGTTTTTCAAGCTCTTTTGAGCTCTTTTCTTTGAGTCAATCAGTCAATGAAGCTGAATGAAGTCAATGAAGCTAATCAAAAGTGAAATTTTGAGTAAAATTCAACCTTTTCAGCTTTCAAGCTTCAATTTTTAAGTAATTCTATCGATTTTTCTTTGAATCTTTTCAATGTTTTCAATGTTTTCAATCTTTTCAATGGTTTTCAACAAAAATTTCGATAGTTTTATAGATTTTTGACGCAAAAATGGAGCCGAATTTCCCGTTCGAGATCGCCGAGGCGACGAGCAGCCACGAGGCTGAGATTATCGACTTTTTGCTCAGTGGTTCGCTATTTTTAGAGAATTTTGAAAGGAAAACTTAATAAAAACTATTTAAATATACTGTAGTAATTGTCTAATACCCAAAAAAAGTCTACAGAATCTCGACAAAGTTCAAAATCAAAACAAAGTTCAAAAATCTCGACCGACGTTCGACTTTGAGGTATACTTTGAGCTCACACCGAAACTCACCGCTTCTAGCACACCAAATTTAGTAGAGTTTTAAAGATTCTTTAGATTTGAAAGAGCTTTAGATTTTAAATTTAGCCTTGCATCCTTACAGCCTTTATTAGAAGACTTAGAGGAATTAGAAGTGGGTTTTAAATGTTAATTCTCTGATGATATTCAAATTTGATCAACAAAATCGATATTTTAAAATGTTTTCTACAATATATTATGATTGATTATAGATTAAAAAGCAAAGAAACTAAAGGATCTAAAGAAATGAAAGGAGGGAAAGGAAAGAAATAAGAGAGTCTGGTGGAAGGGAGCATCCTATGGATCCGCCCCTTTCCTCTGTACCCTCCCCTATTATTAGAAGACTTAGAGGAGGAACAAGAGAACAAGATATAGAATTAATATGAGGCGACACCACGCTCCTTGCCCACACAGGAGCCCATTCTGCGAATAGAAATGGTATTGAGTAGTGCGAAAGATTGCAAAAGAGCAAAAGCAAAAGAGCAGAGAGATTTGCAAAGAGAGAGCTTAAGATTTAAGACTAGAATGTAGAAGATTTAGATAAAAACAAGAGAACAAAGATATAGAATTAATAGAAAGATATAGAAATTAATAGAAATTAATGGAAATTGACATTCCAGTTATTGAAATTAATAGAATTCAAAGATTAATAGAAAGTTGATGAGATGAAGCCAGGGCTAGACTTGAATAACTTGGGTTAGTCAGCATTGTTATAGTCAGCATTGGCACATTGTCTGGAAAAGGGAACACCTGCATTGTTTAAACCAAAAGCCAGGCAACTTTGTCATAGATAAACCAAGCGACGAGCAGTCACGAAGCTGAGATTATCGACTTTTTGCTGAGTAGTTGGCTATTTTTAGAGAATTTTGAAAGGAAAGCTTAATAAATACTGAATAAAAACTATTTAAATATACTCTAGTACTTGTCTAATACTCAAAAAAAGTCTACAGAATCTCGATAAAGTCCAAAATCTCGACGCTTTTCTGTAACCCGACCTCCAATCCTGATGATGTACTTTGTGCTCACAAGCACGCCGCTTCTGGCGAACCAAATTGAGTCAATTGTGCCAGAAGGGATGTGTTTGTGAGCAGAAAGTAGATGCCTTGAAAGAATTGAAAGATTTCAGACTTTCTCGGCAGAGAACCACTAAACGAAGCGTTGGATCTACGGCCAATGCAATGCAAAGAATTCTTTCAATGTAAGTTGAGATTTAAAGTAGACTAAAGCCTGCTTTAGCTCCTACAGTAGCTTGCCACCGTAATCCTACCGTAACTCTACAGTAACCCGCTCCATTTATCATAAACGTAAATCTAGATCTTATCCATAAAGGTGTCACCTCAAAGCAAAGTCTAGTGATTCGAGATGCGAATGGAAAAGTAAGAAAGCTTCTAAAATGTCTAATTTTTTGGGAAAACTATCAAACTGCCATTTAAAGTTGAAATTTCATTGAATATCTTTCTTTGAAAGCGAAATTTTCAGCTAATCGCCACACAAATCGCCTCAATTCTTGAAAGACAAGCAAACGATCAAGAGAACAACAATTCCCAAGTGAGACTTCAGATCTCTCAGCTTGCTCAGATCTCTCAGCTCTCAGATCTCTCAGCTTGCTCAGATCTCTCAGCTTGCTAAGATCTCTCAGCTTGCTCAGATCTCTCAGCTTGCTAAGAGCTCTCAGCCTGCTCAGATCTCTCAGCTTGCTCAGATCTCTCAGCTCTCAGATCTCTCAGCTTGCTCAGATCTCTCAGCTTGCTAAGAGCTCTCAGCCTGCTCAGATCTCTCAGCTTGCTAAGATCTCTCAGCTTGCTCAGATCTCTCAGCTTGCTAAGAGCTCTCAGCCTGCTCAGATCTCTCAGCTCTCAGATCTCTCAGCTTGCTCAGATCTCTCAGCTTGCTAAGAGCTCTCAGCCTGCTCAGATCTCTCAGCTCTCAGATCTCTCAGCTTGCTCAGATCTCTCAGCCTGCTCAGACTTACAAGTTTCAAAGTTTTGAAAGTCTTTAGAAAGTTCAAAAGCTTTCAGGGCTTTCAGGGACATGCTTAAACTAATCTTTAGAACTCTCAGCTTCTGTAATTGTAAAATTGTAAAATTTTCCGTTTTCTAGGACCAAATCAAGCTCGAGGGTGAGATTCGAAAAATCGCTGGCCTTTTGGAGAAGCTGGATGAACAGGTGAGTGGAAATGAAATCATCAGAGTTAACTATGGCTTTGTTAACTCTGATGGTTTCTCTGCCTAAGCCTTGATTAAGTCCAAAGCATGGATCAAGCCAGAACTGAGCTGAGGTCTGGCAAAAGAGTCTAAAAAGAGCCCAGCTCAGCTTGCTTAGATCTCTCAGATTGCTGAGCTTGCTCAGATCTCTCAGCTTGCTCCTCTTGCTCCTCTTGCTTCTCTTGCTCCTCTTGCTCAGATTTTGCTCAATAAGCTCAGATTTGGACTACAGTACCCTTGGAAGTGACTCGTCTCTTTTACATCATGATCATCTCAGTGTCATCGCATTTTGAAAGAAGGGGAATCGCGAATCGGTGAGCAAAAAACGATATTCAGCTGAAAGACTGAATACTTTATGTCATGCTGTAAGATAAAGAAGTTCTAGCGAAAGGTAGAGTTGAGATTTTTCAGTTTGATGGCCAACGCCGTACAACAGGCGCAAAACACTCGATGCCATGGGATTTTAGCCGAAGCCACTGCTTACAATTCACAAAAGGTTTCGCTTCTTAAGATTAAGATTTGAAAGGATTGGTTACTGTAGTTTACTATTGGTACTGGACTTGTAGATTTGTAGATTGTAGACATCTAAAGCTTGTAAGTTGTAGACTTCTAAAGCTACCGTAAAGCCTGTAGATTGTAGAATTCTAAAGCCTGTAGATTGTAGATTTCTAAAGCTTGTAGATTGTAGACTTCTATAGCTTGTAAGTTGTAGACTTCTAAAGCTACCGTAAAGCCTGTAGATTGTAGAATTCTAAAGCCTGTAGATTGTAGATTTCTAAAGCTTGTAGATTGTAGACTTCTATAGCTTGTAAGTTGTAGACTTCTAAAGCTACCGTAAAGCCTGTAGATTGTAGAATTCTAAAGCCTGTAGATTGTAGACTTCTAAAGCTTGTAGATTGTAGACTTCTATAGCTTGTAGATTGCAGACTTCTATAGCTTGTAAGTTGTAGACTTCTAAAGCTACCGTAAAGCTTGTAAATTGTAGACTTCTAAAGCCTGTAGATTGTAGACTTCTATAGCTTGTAAGTTGTAGACTTCTAAAGCTACTGTAAAGCTGTAAAGCTAAGAACTTCCTCACTAAGTACAGTAGGTGTACGGCAAACAATATAGCAAACGATTCAAGCCAGAGTATCAATAGCAAGCTACAGTAATCAACTACTGTAGCTTGCTATTGATCAACTCATCCAAATTTTTCTCAACTTTTTCTCAGCTCTTTGAGAAGTGCGGCTTCACTGTGCTCTACGAGGTGAAACACAGCGATTACTTGGATGAAACGGGGAAAAGGGTCAGAGAATCTTCAAGTTTCCCTCTAAAATTCTCTTTTAGATAATCCATTGCCGAGATCAAACCGACTCTGCGCAACTTGTCTTCAAAAAAGTTTAGAACTGGATTTCGAAATGGATTTAGAAATGGATTTAGAACTGAATTTAGAAATTTTTTGACAATTTTCAGTTGCATTCAAGGGATAAATCATTCATTTAAAACAAGAATTCATTTAAAACAAGAATTCATTCAAGAAACAAGAAACAAATCGTTTAATCTTTGCCTCTTCTGATGATCTGATAATCTACTAGACAAACAAGTGTTTATACAAGTGGATCGTTGTGTCGGGCTCCAAAAACAGTTGTCAGTCTGAAAGTTTTGCGTAACGGTTCAACGGAATCGATCACCACAAAATCCTGTTCATCGATGAAAAGATATTTACCGTCGAGGGAATTCTCAACAAGCAAAATGATCGAATTTAGGCAAAATCTCAGCCAAACGTCACCGTATCGAGCAGTTCTCATCCTGCATCGGATAACCGATAGCCAGATAACCGATAACCGGATAACCGCCAATGGAAAGACCCCGTTGATCTTTGTTCTCAAGGTGTGAAAGTAAATGCAGTCAATTATTTGGAGTTGCTAAAGAAGGAGGTTGTTCCGCTCAACGCCACTTGAAAAATCGAAGTTTGGATTTATCAACAAGATGGTGCGTCGGCTCAAAAGGCAAAGAAAGTGCAAGAATTTTGTTCAAAGGCCTTCCCGAACTTCATCTCGTTTTCTGAGTGGCCACCCAGCTCACCCGATCTTAACCCATTGAATTACTCAATCTGGAATGTTCTTGAAGTCTGGAGTGTGCCAGAGCATGTGCAAAACCATATAAAAATATCGAAAGTTTGAAGAAAGCAAAGCATCAAAGCATCCCTCGATGATGCCTATTTGCTCGCCACGATCAACGCGTTTCTCAAACATTTACAGGCTGAATGAACAAGCTGTGATCAAGCTGAAAACGTAATAATGCTACTTTTACATCAAACCTAAAATCGTGACCTTTTCTACCGCTAGCAACTTGAAATTATTCAAAATCCCTTACCAAATAGGCAAACTTGCGCGAATCGTATTATTGGGAATTTTTCTCGGAAAACTTTGTGCTTCAAAGCGACTTCTGAATTTTGATAATCTTAACGTTAACCAAAATGAGAGATATTAGACACCTCAAAGTATTAGGCTGTCCAGAAAGTCTTTTCGTACTTCCACTGGTCATGAGAAATCAAATTTTACAGTTGGAATGATGGAAAAGAGAGGATGAACGGAACGGAGAGACATTTTTGCAGATGCTTCTCAACAAATGTCACAACATTTCACTTTGGGCTAATTGGAGAAATCGGTGAGCAAATTTTTGTTTTCTTGTCTTCAGAGTTAAAATTCAAATTTAAACCATGTAAGGCAAATTTGAATTTAATTTTTATTTAACAAATTTAATTGTTAATTATTTAGTTGTTAATTTGTTACTGTTATATGTTGAATAAAGATCTTTAAGTTAACTTTAGTCTTTAAAGGGGGGGGGGGGGGGTATTATCGTCACCCGGCCGCGATTAATACCCCCCCCCCCCTTTAAGTTTCGAGATGGGTTGTAGATTTGGTTAAAAGCCAGGCCTTTTGTGTTGCGGTAATTCTTGGTCCTGTACAACTGTACTATTGTTAACGAAGTGAATTTTCACCGGTTGTCTTCATTGGAGGCTTCAGGCTTATCACTATTGTATAGAGGCCACTATTGCATAGAGGCATATCACTATTGTATTGAGGCCACTATTGCATAGAGGCTTATCACTATTGTATTGAGGCCACTATTGCATAGAGGCATATCACTATTGTGTAGAGGCCACTATTGTATAGAGGCTTATCACTATTGTATTGAGGCTTATCACTATTTTATGAGGCTTATCTACGAATCCTAAACTTGTAAACTCTTCAAAACCATTGTCAAAAGCAAGTCTCAATAGTTTTTCTGATGGTATTGTAGGATTTCTTTAGGTAATCCAGTTTTTTTCAAAAGAGAAAAGCTGGTAAAGGGTATGGGTTGGTGAAAGACTGTTGCAGGGGGAGGGAAGGGATGGAGAGGTGGAGGGTGGAGAGGTGGAGGGTAGAGAGGTAGAGAGGTGGAGAGGTAGAGAGGTGGAGGGGAGGGTACAGAGGAAAGGGGCGGATCCATAGGATGCTCCCTTCCACCAGACTCTCTTATTTCTTTCCTTTCCCTTCTTTCATTTCTTTAGATCCTTTAGTTCCTTTGCTTTTTAATCTATAATCAATCATAATATATTGTAGAAAACATTTTAAAATATCGATTTTGTTGATCAAATTTGAATATCATCAGAGAATTAACATTTAAAACCCACTTCTAATTCCTCTAAGTCTTCTAATAAAGGCTGTAAGGATGCAAGGCTAAATTTAAAATCTAAAGCTCTTTCAAATCTAAAGAATCTTTAAAACTCTACTAAATTTGGTGTGCTAGAAGCGGTGAGTTTCGGTGTGAGCTCAAAGTATACGTCAAAGTCGAACGTCGATCGAGAACCGTCGTCGAGATTTTCAAATTTTTGAACTTTGTCGAGATTCTGTAGACTTTTTTGGGGATTTTAGAGTTACGGTAGGATTACGGTAGCAAGCTACGATAGGGTTACTGTAGCTAAAGCAAGCTTTAGTCTACTTTAAATCTCAACTTACATTGAAAGAATTCTTTGCATTGCATTGGCCGTAGATCCAACGCTTCGTTTAGTGGTTCTCTGCCGAGAAAGTCTGAAATCTTTCACTTCTTTCAAGTCATCTTCTTTCTGCTCACAAACACACCCCTTCTGGCACAACTGACTCAATTTTGTTTGCCAGAAGCGGTGTGTTTGTGAGCACAAAGTACATCATCAGGATTAGAGCTCGGGTTACCGAAAAGCGTCGAGATTTTCAAATTTTTGGACTTTATCGAGATTCTGTAGACTTTTTTGGGTATTAGACAAGTACTAGAGTATATTTAAATAGTTTTTATTAAGTATTTATTAAGCTTTCCTTTCAAAATTCTCTAAAAATAGCCAACTGCTCAGCAAAAAGGCGATAATCTCAGCTTCGTGACTGCTCGTCGCTTGGTTTATCTATGACAAAGTTGCCTGGCTTTTGGTTTAAACAATGCAGGTGTTCTCTTTTCCAAACAATGTGCCAATCCTGACTATACCAATGCTGACTAACCCAAGTTATTCAAGTCTAGCCCTAGCTTCATCTCATCAACTTTCTATCAATCTTTGAATTCTATTAATTTCAATAACTGGAATGTCAATTTCCAATAATTTCTATTAATTTCTATATCTTTCTATATCTTTCTATTAATTCTATATCTTTGTTCTCTTGTTTTTATCTAAATCTTCTACATTCTAGTCTTAAATCTTAAGCTCTCTCTTTGCAAATCTCTTTGCTCTTTTGCTTTTGCTCTTTTGCAATCTTTCGCACTACTCAATACCATTTCTATTCGCAGAATGGGCTCCTGTGTGGGCAAGGAGCGTGGTGTCGCCTCATCAGCTTGTGCTCTTCCGGAAAAGGGTCCAATTCCTTCACTTGCTCGTCCTTTATCCACAGTTCCCACTCCATCAAGAGCTCTCTACACATCAGCTCCTGGCAGCCCTCCGCCATCACCCCGACCCGCACACATTGCACTTTTTGACTACGAAGCGAGAACTGATGACGATTTGAGTTTTCGGAAAGGAGAGGTAGGGTTTTAGAGTGACTACGGTAGAGAAAATTGAAGATTCAGCTAATCAGCTATTCAGCTATTCAGCTAATCAGCTATTTAGCTATTCAGCTATTCAGCTGATCATTATTGAATCGTAATCGTAATCGCACAGATTCTGGCAGGCTTCTAGAGTGTTCTAGAGTGTTCTGGCAGGCTTCTAGAGTTTCTAGAGTGTCCTGGCAGGCTTCTAGAGTGTTCTAGAGTGTTCTGGCAGGCTTCTAGAGTGTTCTAGAGTGTTCTGGCAGGCTTCTAGAGTGTTCTAGAGTGTTCTGGCAGGCTTCTAGAGTGTTCTAGAGCGTTCTGGCAGGCTTCTAGAGTTTCTAGGGAAACCCAAGCCATGTTTCTGAAGATATTCAGCTAATTAATTAAATAGCTATTCAATAAATGAATAAAGGAAACAGCTATTCAATAAAAATGTTTAATTGCTTAGCTGAATATCTTCAAAAACATGGCTTGGGTTTCCCAAGAAACTCTAGAAGCCTGCCAGAACACTCTAGAACACTCTAGAAACTCTAGAAGCCTGCCAGAACCTGCGCGATTACGTAAACATGAGAATTTCTTGTCTTTTGTTAATAAGATCCTAATAAGATCGTTTTTTGTTAATAAGATCATCCAGATTCAAGAGAATCAAAAAAAGCGCAAAAATCAAAGCGCAATCTTAGTCTTAATCTTAATCTATCAAAGAATTGTAAAGCAAGACGCTTCCAGCTGCTAGACGTGGTGGACACAACGCAAGGCGAATGGTGGTTTGCTCGTTCGCGCTCATCTGGTCGAACTGGGTACATCCCGTCGAATTACGTGGCCCAAGAGAAGAGCCTCGACGCACAGCCGTTTGTTTTTCAACTATTAAATGAGAAGCTTAAATGAGAAGATTAAATAAGCATTCAAATTAAGACAAAACTTTGACTCAAATTCCTTTTATTGAAACTTTTTTCTTTGAGGTCACCTCAAAAACCTTTTCTTTTCTTTTTGCTCTTTTCAGGAGTTAGCCTTCACCTCAAAAATCTTTCTTTTCTGACCATTTTCCTTATGTTTCTGTGTATTTCCTTCTTTTCCCTTTTTCCAATTCTCCTTTTCCAATTCTCCTTCTCCTTCTCATTCCTAAGTCGGCGCCTTTTTGACGACAGGTCATCCAAAAGATGCTAATCTATGAGAATTTACGATTTACGGGCTATTGATTAGTTCGATTGAAAGTTATAAATACCAAACTTTGTTCTATAGATGACAGAGAAAAGGTTCTATAGACAATGTTCTCTTTTTAACAAATTCTTGGTTGACTATGAGCTATTGTTGGAAAGGCAGGACCAAGCCAAGCCAAGAGCCAAGCCAAGAGTCAAGCCAAGCCAAGCCAAGCCAAGAGCCGAGCCAAGAGTCAAGCCAAGCCAAGAGTCAAGCCAAGCCAAGCCAAGAGTCAAGCCAAGAGCCAAGCCAAGCCAAGAGCCAAGCCAGAAGCCTGCACACCTGGACTAGTTCTTGAGCCTGACAGAATCCAAGCTTGGAATCAACTTCTGATGGGGAGACCAAGTCAAATCAGAAGTCCTGGAAGTCCAGAAGTCTAGAAGACAGAATCGAGGAGCAAAGCTAGACCGGGGCACTATTG